TGCATTGACAGCAGCCTTCTGTGGATCAGGTTTTTCATCTTCTTCCAGATTCTCTGTGGGATCCAGATCAGGCAAGTTGGCTGTATGATTAAGCATGATAATAACATGGTCAGCAAATCATTTGGGAGCAGTTTTAACATTGTGAGTGGTGCTAAGTCCTGGTGAAAAGGAATTTGGCATCTCCATAAAGCTTTCAGTGAAAGGAAACATTACTTCAAAACCTCCTGGTAGATGTCGTGGTGTAGACTCAATGATCCAGATAAGGAAATCTCAGAAAGTTGATTTCGTTCATCTGGATTCAGCATTGTCAGCTGACTGCAAGTTTCCCCAACGTTAAATGATAATATCTGTCACCTATCTCCAAGTTTCTGGCTTCGTGTGCAGCACCAAACGCAACATTCGAATCACGTTGGACGACACCAGATGAAACAACGGCCTCTTATGAGACCGTTACATCTTCTTCACTTGTGTTTCAGTTACCGGACCAGTGGCGGTAGCTCATAAGAGATTAGAGGACAAGCCAAGTGTCTCTGTCCAGTCAAGCTTATTTATAAGCACATTTGAAAACAACAGATGTAAAAAGTGCTGTATATCTAAAAAAGATTAGAAGATAAGTAAAACAGCGTGGATAAAAAGTCATCAGAACGCAGCTCGGTTTAAAAGCCAAAGAATAAAAATACTGTCACCTGCCAGAGCATCTAAAAGCATCTAAAAATGAAAAAAGGACCAAGAATGGACTCGAGTGGCTCCACTTAAGAAAGGAAGATGCACGCCTAAGCTGTAAAATTGTTTGGTAAAGCAAGATTTAAACTCTTATTCTGAAACTCTTCAGTAACACTGCTTTGACCCAAAAAAGGAATAGAGAGAAGGAAAACAGCTTTCTCCAGGAACTTAGACTAAAAAGACGTTTAGAAATCAGTCTGAAGTCGGATAAAACTGTTGGATCAAGGTTTTGCTTTTAAACAATAGACTCCACCACAGTATGCCACTGCCATTGATAATAGTGAGTAAACTCATTGCTATAGTGCCAAAAATATCCATCAGTCGCCAAGACGAATGTCCAGGAGACATTTTGTGGGTTTTAAGGGGCAAAGACACAAACTCAAAGTGGTCAAAAGCAACAGAGGATGTGTGAAACGATGGGTCAGAGCCAGGAGGGATGATATGAGACCGAATACTTACAATCCTGGCATCGAAATCAA